AAGATGTACATTGACTGTGGGGCTATATAGGTAAGGGGCTTTATGTATGTACGACTGCATGTGTCCATCACTGGGCTGAGAGTGGACCGATGCAGGCTGATGGTCCTGGCTCAAATTCTGAATAATGCTCTGTCTGTGAAATGGTTTGGAGGAAGGGTTAGTGGTAGGGTCATTATTCTCACTGTGATGCAGATCTCTGGATCCTTGAGCAACCAACATTGAGTGGACCCCATTATCTTTTCCAAGTATCATGTCCTTGACAAGGAACTGGGGTCCTGTGGTCAGCAAATTCTGGAGAGTGCTTGTGCCCTTGTAGGCCTGCATATTACTGGAGCTCTCCTCAATATTCTGCATGGAGGAATTGTGCTGAAGCATGCCCACATCTGGCTGGCCATAAACTATCTCGCAGCTGGAGCCCTGGCCCATCATTTCACTGGCGTATTGGTAAGAAGGCTGTTTATGACATGGGGATTGGTGCTGTTGGTAGCTAATTGTTGCTCTGAGATCTGCAGGACAGTGGGATGCAGGTGAGTGGGCACTAGAGGGACTGGGGTACAGGTGTGGAGATGCCGAACAGGATATCCTCTCTGCTTCAGGTTCCCCCAATTCCCTCTCAGCTAGAATTGGTGATAGATGACCACTAAGAGTTGAAGCTGAAGAGCTGCCTAGTGAATGGAGATCTGTCCAGGTCTCAAACTCCTCCCTAGCCACCACACCACCTGTTCCAGACTTCCTAGTGGGACTGCAATGATCTGGAGAGCTACAGAACTCCAAAAATGCCTCTGTACCCTGCTCTGCTTTCCCGGCCATTTTCTTACGGTTCACTCGCCCTTTGCTCTTTAAGTGCTTGTTGCCATTGTCCATTGAGACAGCTCTACGGCGGGGAGCTTTTCCCAGCTTCCCTCCATCAGGATTCAGCATCCACCAGGAACTCTTGCCAGTTCCCTCATTCTGCACACGGATGAAACGTGTGTGCAGGGACAAATTGTGGCGGATGGAGTTCTAGAATAAGGCAGAAAGAAAAAAAGACGAGAGTTTTAGAACAATATAGTTACAACAGAAATCTAAAATATACTCACAAACTGTATTATGTTAACTACAATACAATGTTAAAATCTCTTTAGCACTTTATAAAAAATAGATTTTTTTTAATGTACTTGTTTATATAATATAGTGTGTATCCTATGAACAAGATAATAATTTAAGCATATTAAAGTATATTCAATGAACTATTGGTATTTTCAGCTTTCCTATGTGTTATTAGCTTTGGAAATCCATACACGTTTGGATGAGTATTGGAAAGATTAATTGCCAGTGAAGTCATAGTGTTGTTATTTTTTAACTCATTTAGCTTTTCAGTAGCTGAACAATTTTATTTTTAAGTAGTGGGATAGTATTAACATGTTCCATTTTCCCTGACAATATTTTAGGAGTCAAATTGTGTGTTAGGTATTCTTTTAGATGTTTAAGAACTAAGAATCTATTTTGGTATTCATTTTTAAACTTGGAACTAACAAGGTTCAGTTTCACTCATGCACTATTTATTCTAAGCTATTCTAAAACTGTTTTCTTACAATAAACTTGAACATGTAAGTTTATAAGATATATACATATACTTGAGTTCTTCCTCAAAGAAGCAAATATATGTGGAAAAAAAATAATAAGCCACTCTATCAAAGGAGTAAACACAACTACAGGCCAAGTAGAGTATATGTTTTCTTAAGAATAACTTGATCAAAAGATTAAGTACCAGTATTGGCCAAATAGATTTTTCTGTATATTTGTCAGTATAATTAAGTGCATCTCTGATAAATACATCAAAAGTAGACAAAAATGACAAGTTGGCCATAAAAATGTGCAGTAATAGGGTGGATGCTGACTAATCTCTGGCTCAAAGCTTCTGGCTCTTTCCAGCCTGAGAGAGGAAATGTATCTCTTCCACGCTCACATCTCTTTATCTCAAACATTCGTTTAAATATTCATTCATTGCTTTCTTTTTACCTTCAGGGTCAAATCACATAGTTAAGGACTAAAACACTTCTCAGACTCACCGTCAATCCAGCATTATTAATGTTTAGTGGAAAGTTATATTCTTAAGTACTCTTAATAAGTCAGACTGAATATACTGACACATTTCGAGGTAAAGTGTGTAATTTTGTGACACCAGCAGCACCAAGCCGAACTGGGAGAGAAGATGAGAGTTTTACCAAACTGGTTCAAACAGGTTTTCACAAAAGTCTGACACATAACACCTCTAGAAGCTGGAAATAACTGCCATCTCTATCTCTCAATGATATCCTAAATAGTTCTGGATATTACACATAATTCAATGCTAATCCTTATTTACTAAATTGGGTGAATAACTCACTGCCAAGTCAAAGATTGTACTTATTAGAGGTGTACTCTGACAATGACTTTGATTATGTGTTGGATAATTAATGGTAGTTAACAGATCGTTTAATAATGGGATATATTGAATGTTCATTTAGACAACATGGGTGCAGCCCGGAGGTAAGATATCATGCAGTTTCTCTCCGAGGCATTTTATGTCTTGTATACTTTCTCCCGCCCCACCATTTTCATGTCCAGTTGGAAAGAACTGCTGGGAAAGCTAACTGGCATTGACACTGTGTCTGCTCCTGTTAGACAAGAGAAGAGAGGCTGTGTCAAAGCCTATAAAGTCAACATTTCCACTTTCTGCAGCTCAACTAGAACACTTCCAGGGACTTTTAATTAACCACAGACTCCAGGCAGCTCATGGTACGCCCTGACAGAACAAATGAACAAAATAATGGTAACGGTAAGTCACAGTAAGTTCCTTTCTGCAATACTGCCTCTTTAATGAAGGCGTGTTGCCTGAAGAAAAAAAAAAAAAAAACATGAGCATCACGGGTCATGACATGTAGGCATGGGTTACTAAAAGTTTACTAAATGTGTTTTAATTTTTTCTGTCTGCTTAAATCATCTGTATGTAAGATTTTTAGCTTTAAATATACATTTTCAAAATCATTTTGATATTTTACTGACATTTTACACATCTTTGTGCAAACCTTTCTGACATATTTACGGTGTTAAAATCATCAACACAATGAATGAGTAAAAATTAACACAAAAACGTTGTCCCAGAACTCACCCATTAATGTGTTAAAATTTAAAGGGGTCATATGATGCTATTTTAAAGATCATTATTTTGTGTATTTGGTGTAACAGAATATGTTGACATGCTTTAATGTTAAAAAAACACATTATTTTTCAAATACTCTACATTATTTGAAATCGCATCATATGACCCCTTTAACACAGGTTGTGTCATTTTTAACACATCTTTTCAAACAGATTTTTTTCTGAGGATGAGAGAGCAGTTTGCCATTGAGAAAGCTAACATCTATGGATTTACCCCTTTCTCGCTGTGTTAAGTAGATTGCTATACGACAGCTGGAGCTCTTTTTTGTTCGTGCTTAATTGCTGATGAATCTCTCTGCTCCTCTTCTCTTTGCTCTAGGGAACGTGTCCCAGAGGTCCAGATACTTACAAGCACCACCATGAGACTCCACCATCCTGACACCATTTATCACCCATCTGTCTGCTCCAGCCACACCCAGCCTGCATGTTTATTACGATGATCCCTTGATGCTGGCAATCTTCATTGACCTGCTCACTATCCTTCTAAACCATGAGAGTGCTGAAGTAATGTATATTTTTTTAACGTATTTTGTGTAGGCCACCTGGTTGGTGTTTAGCAATTTTGAAGCCTAATTACAGCTGCCAGAAGCACAAAAGCTAAACACAGGTTCTAAACAAGCAACGAGACATTCATTAGGCTTCTGACAACTTTTTCAGTCTTTATTAAAAAAAAAAAAATTTTTTAAACATGCAAAAAGATTTGCCCGCTTCCGCTATAGTTCGCCAGCATTTTTCCTTCTTTGTTCTGTCGTGGTAGTCCCTTGATGACACATCATACAGGCAGGAGTACTGTTGCCACAGCTCCACGAACCTTTCCTCCATCTCATAATTCCACCTAGCAGCACCATCATCTCTCTTTCGTTTTGCCATGTTTGAAACCTGTGTATGAAAGTGCTTCTGTGCTGCTATTGGTCAACGTCACCAATGTGACGGAACTCGTCGTGGACGACGGAAAAAAAATTAAACATGCTAGTCGTGATGTCGTGAAGTATCGCAGAAGCGGAATCGGTTGTCGTCCATCTTGCGTCCCGACGCCCATTGTTGTTTACGAATCCCCACGACACCCTACGTCAAGCAAATCGTGGCAAAATCGGGCTAAAATCGTGTAGTATGAACCGGGCATAAGGGAGAACTGAGGGATTATAAACATGAACCAAACAAAGGGAACTAATTAGATAATTAATCAGACAACAGGTGGACAGAATGACTAATTAAACAGACTCAGAAACTAGAACTGACAGAACCAAAAAAAAAAAATCACAAAGAAACATAGCAGACATGTAACAAATATATAATTCATGACAATAGGCTACTTTCAATGAAGTAGGATCTTCAAATAATTATGAGATTATTAAATGATAAATAAATAATAAATAACTCATTATTTATATATCTTTCCAAGAAATCAAGATGGATTTTCAATTTACTGTCAAACGGTTTTAAATAAATTGCTGACCACAGAAACATAATACTGAGGTAATTTATGTATTATAATAGGGCAATACAAAATATACAGTGTCCCTCTGCCATTAAAGACACTAATTAAAAAGTGTGGTCAAGATTTAGCACTGATTGCACACCAAACAGCAACATAATACAAACCTTTAAAAAAAATTGTTTTTCTGAAATGCATGGAACCACAATGATATTAAAAGCCTTAAAGGAGAAATGTGCTCACTCCAGTCAGAGTGTCTGCTGAACGGGTAATAGAAGTGGTGGGTGATTCTTGGCTTGCTGTATGTTAATTGCCATGAGCAGGCTGTGTTTCCCGCAGGAGCTGTGGGTGTGGGTGCTAGTCATCGTGAGTTAGGTAGTTATAAATAGTGCCACCAGATAAGCTGAGCATCTGAGAAGCAGACAGATCAGAAAATCCAGAATCCTGTGCCAGTTTGACTCAGCCTTATGGGTGCGACCTGGGATCCCCCTGTCCACAGTCCACCAAAATCGTCTCAAAACACAATACATCAGTCATGTTACCAGGATATATCATCCACTTTACTGAAGGACACAAGTAACAGTACACTCTCAGAAAAAAGGAACAAAAGATGTCACTGGGGTGGTACCCTTTCAAAAGGCACTAATATGAACCATTTAGATACCAATACAGACACTTTAGGTACTAATATGTACCTTTCAGGTACCAATATGCACCCTTTAGGGATAAATAAGGTACAAAGGTGTACTAGCTTTTGTACCTTTATTTCTGACAGTGTAAGACAAATGCGGGCAGCCCTTTTCATGTTTGCATAATCTCATTCACAGTAATAATAATCTGATTTGCTTTATTGTAAAGGTTAGTGTGCCTCTAATCACAATTTAATATACATAATTTATTATTTAATTCTATAAAAGCAAATATGTGAGGTGTGTGTTTAGCATGGAAAATGGAGAATTATCAATGTGATGTGCACTCTTCTGTATGTTAATGCAAAAATCCTTGGCTGTTGTACACTTGTACATTTTTCTATGTTTGGATAGACACTGAAATGTACAGTATCAACAAAAAACATACAATACAAACATAAAAATAACCTTTAATGTATGAACAATCTTTATGAATACTTCTAGGAAGCTTTAAAGAATAAGGAATTCAGCATATAATAATAAATTAATGAAATTTAACTTTGACATTATAATGGCTTCATTCTGTTCAGTGATTTATAAAGACTGTAAATCTGTTAAACTGTAACATTGACAGTGTTACTTTAATTTTTAATTTTTTTGGTAATTTTAATTTTTGTGTTTTTCTAATCAGAATTTCATCTATACGTTTTGGGTAAATTGTAAGAATGGTAAGAGCTGATATATTAACAATTTAC